TTTCTGTATTTCCTAGATTAACTGAGATGTCGGTTCAAAGACTTATCCCAATTAAAACACAGACTGTGCTATATATAGATTCCTGCTAATTCCTGGGAAGTAAAATAATTATTACCAGAAGTACTTGGCACTCTGTAGCAACCCCATGCTCCTCCCGCCACCCTCATATCCTCCAATCAGCACTCAGCTGGATCAACAGGTGTCTCGACGGCAACGCCTGGAGACGCCCTCCCATGCAACAGGTGTCGTCTCGCCACCTTGATCCAATGCGTCCACCCGCAAGCTTTCCTCCCGGCTGAATTGGGAGTATATTAGAGACCAGACTTAATCCCCAAACAACAGTTCTAATTCTTAATCAAATCCGGTTGTGCTGTTGTTCACGGGATTCGCGGTGCGTTTTTCGTGTGTTTGTCAGTGCAGTTGTGAAGATTGGTAAATGAGTTGATTATAACAAATTGTTATTTGACATAACAGTACATTACACATACCTAGGTTGAGAAATGATCTATTATTGCGTGAGGACTTTTATATGGTGAGGCGCACACGCGTATAGCTCCAAATGCAGTAATAAGCTAGATCAATAATGGCCTTCTAAAACGAGGTATTTGTACATTTTATTCTCCAGTAACACTATACAGGGTGTTTCAAATTCGACCCTCACCAATGGGATCTTGGAAATTGTAAGAGATACAAAGTCGGTTGAATGGGGGCAAAGTTGTTTATTTAGGTAATGAACAAAATGTCGCTTAGAAAGTTTCGGAATTCAAAGTACTTCCGGAGAGAGACGGAAAAAACTAATTTTTCCAAAATTGTTTTAATTCCTTCCTGACTTTATTTGTAGAGTGGGATTTCAAAATAAATTGCACATTAAAATTGCTACTTTTTCTTCTCTGCGAAACGGCATAACTAGAATCTCAATATGACGTTTCGTCTCTTTCGTCTCATCATCAACTTAATTTTTTCTTATGGACGCCATATTAGATTTTTGCACAGATGAATTGATTTTTTGATTCTGATTTCAAAAATGTATAATACGACATATGTTACATTGACATTGCAAAACCTTAGTTATTTCATGACATGTACATCACGAAAGAGATTGTCCCTCATTTCCGTTGGTCTGTTCATGTCTGTCGGTCTATCTGTCCGCTAATCATTGGCCTGTCTATAACTTAGGAAGTACTGCTTGAGTTTTGATGAAATTTTCACACTAGGTTGCTACTATGCCAAGGACGAAAATGCTTTGTAGTTTCTTGAAAGTTGGTCAAGAGACGGCGGAGAAAAGGGTCAAACACGAAAAAAATAAAAGCACTTCGTTTTTTGACGTTCCAGAGGATCATGATAATTTTCAGAAAAAAATTTGAAGAGGATGAATCTCGGGGTTGGGGGTATATTAGTATATTTATACGCGTCCAACCTCGATTCACCTCAATGCACCTATCAGACATACTTCACACATCATCGATGTACCTGTACATTTGCCTTGCCGAACTGCAGTGCAAAAAATACAGGTGTTGAAAAAGTAACTATTCGTCACACTAGTATTGGTTACTCATAGATACCCGATGTAACGAGTTAAAAATCCGAGCACCAAATTCAGTTTCCCGTACCCGTACACGTACAATTTTTAATCGTTTAGTAGCAACGCTGGTTTCTGCCACCTTGTCACTGTGCCACCGTCGCTCATGCATCAGGGTTCCGAGACATCCCAAATTCGGGTGGTATATGTAGACTAAGCTCCACATAGAATTTTTTATATGGATTCATGCTTAATTGAAATGCCCATAGCTTATAAAAGTTACTTGCTATTCCGAATTTCTTCAAGCCCATACACAGAAAAACATTCTAACTAAAAAACATGCTTTTGAAGCATTTCTAGTGAATAAAAAGTATTTACAGTTTTTAGGCCCATATGAGTCATATGACCCTATCCTATAATAACCACCCGTTTTGCATATAATTTGAAGAAACGATGTTTACATTAAGCACGGCAGATTTAAATAGATTGTTGTCGGAAAATTTTCCAAATTTTAAGGTTGCTTATTTTCTTCCCACTTACCAAACTAATGCATTATATAGTCGTTCCATTGAAGTTGTTCAAATTCAACATGTCATTAATTACACCACGCGCGTTGTCAAATCGTCATACTCATACTACTCATAGTAAACAGAGTAACGAATATAATAAATGATTACTTTGAGGAAAGGTAACGATTAGTAACTACTAGTAGGATAGGGAAAAATGCCTATGGGCCAATTCAACTCATTTAATCGGTTTAATTTTTCTGTTGTACTATTCGTAACTGACTTTTTTACAGATTATTTAAATTGCGCTGAACGTAATCCTTTATGAATTGATAACGACGTTGCGTAGAAAGTGAAGAGTCAACCTATCTGACACCATGTTTTTTTTAAATATCCAGAGTATATTCAAAGAAGTTTCTTGCCCATACAAATAAGGCAGATTGATTCAATAATTTTGGTCAAAATCAAGGAAAAAAGGTGATTTCGGACACATCGGCTAATGCTGTATTTGCCGGAAGCTTTATTATCGTAGTTGATGAATTTAAAATTAGTAGTTTGGTGCCTATAGCACATAACCATGAAAAAAAATCATTTGTTGTTTTTACAATGTACGTGTATTAGGCGGTATTACTGGAATGGGACGACATGCCTTAGCGCAAGTGGATTATGCCTAAAATGAGCATCTGCGATTCCAACGAAAAAAGCATTTTGAAAAAAAATGGCGGTTTTTGAACTGACCGATTCAAATAGTTTAGCAAACACCACTTGATGTAACAGTATTTAGTATTGAAGAAAGATGCAATATAATGCATTTTTCAACACATACGCGTTGGCCAAGCGTTACTATATATATTTTTTAGAGCCCATATTTCAACAGAACCACCCATACCGGCTCGAAATTGAACCGATTTTAAACTGATTAAGTTTGTTGTTCACACTCTATATCACGCCGAATGTTACGAGTTTGTACGTTCATTAATAATTTTAATTATGGTTATGCCAAAGTTGGCTTGATGGTCAATTGTGACAGAAAATAATGCTGCGACCATGTTGTCTGGTCACAGAGTCTTCGAAGCTACAGGGTGCGGCAGCGAGGACGGACGTTTTTGGGATGGGTAGTACTCTCCGCCTCCGTCTACGAGAGAGGTGGGGAGGGTGCAATTTGACTCGTGAAATCCTAGCATTTTCGCCTATGAGTGACGAAGCCCACTTTCACCTAAACAGCATGTTAACCAGCAGAATTGTCGTTATTGGGCTAATGAAAATCCGCAACAGTTACACGAAAGACCGCTGCACAGCCCAAAAGTAACGGTTTGGTGCGCTGTATCGCAAACTTGCATCATTGGCCCTTACTTCTTCGAAGACGGTAATGGTCGTAATGTTACCGTGAACTCAGAGCGCTACTTCGACATGATGACCAACTTCTTTCTCCCTGAATTACGACGGCGACGTGTTCCAATCCAACGTGTGTGGTTCCAGCAGGATGGGGCGACCGCCCACACAGCCCGAGCATCCATGGACGTTATTCGCCCTCTCTTCCCTGGTCGCCTTATTTCCAGGTTTGGCGATGTTCACTGGCCTCCACGGTCCCCAGATTTATCCATATGCGATTTTTTCTTATGGGGACACCTCAAAAGGTTAGAGTATGCGCGAACAACCCCCGAACTCTGGACAAATTGAAGGGCGAAATTCGCGTGGAAGTCGCCCAAGTTGAGAGAGCGATGTTGGAGAGAGTCTACGCGAACTTCCAAGAACGCCTCCAGCACTGCATCAACGATTTCGGCCACCACATGCCTGATGTGATTTTCCACACTTGACTGTCTCAAATGCTATTTCCTTGTGAACCTGATTCTATCAATAAATTTGTTTTCGAGTAAAAATTAACTATTTTATGATTGTTTTAAAACCGTCCATCCTCTCTGCCGCACCCTGTAATTCGGTAACGTTGTGTCCATAGCAAATTGCCCTTACAACTTGGTGTCCACAAGCATGAAAAGAATGACCCTTGTTTTATGCAATTGTCGCTTGTGGTACATTTATGCAAAAACTCTAACGACAGTAATGAAAATGACACCTTAAGTATACAATGAAAATAAAACTTCGCTTACGCTACCTTTGCCGTGGTAAAATATTAGACTCGAAGTTTTCCTTACTGTAAAATCGAAACGTACGTACTGTATTGTCTGTTGTGTTGTATGTTTAAAGATTATGAAAATCCTCATATGTATTCCAATAAAGAAAATACAAGGTTTTATTGAATGTCATTTTTGATCATTGTATTAATTTCATGTACACAGTGGATTGAACGTATTACCAGTTCCTTCACCTTGCTATTATTCAGAAAGGTTTTTAAATAAGGCTCTCCGATTTGTGATTGATGATGTTTGTGAACCCTGCGGTACTGCCAGATAAAATCTAGAGACATTTCTTGCCATCTTTGATAACTAATAATAAATATAACCTAGTTAATATATATTATGGCAAGTGGTCGGGACCCATTATTCAACTTTTTTTAACGTGTCTTTTAAAAGGCCTCAAAACGGCCTTCTGATGCCTCACTAGAGACAAGCTAATTACTGGCTTGGACACAGCGACCACAAAAACCTACCTATAGGACACGCGTCTGGACTCGATTGCTGAGCTTATTTTGAATTTGTCATTGGGATGACCTTCAAATACCCTTATAAAAAACAATTCCTGAATTTGGAATCAGCTGCCCAAAAGATCCTTGCTGTACGAAAAATTGTGTACTTTTCTGTTTTCTGGACCAATGTACTTTCGTATAACATATCACTAACCTACCACAAATTTCTATAAACTTTTCTTAATCAGTTAACGGAACTTTAAAATGACTTGCAATAACGCCTAGTTGTCCTACCATTTTGAAACTGCAAATAGACCTTAGGTGGGATTGCCTTCCACAAATATGTACAAAGGTATTTCACAAATAAGTTAAAAGTACTTTTTGTCTTTAGAAGAGTTCCACCGAGAAGCAGGTCGTGAGGAACACCGGGAGCCAGTAGGAGCATCGGCGGCGACGTAGTACCAGCACTAAATGTAATGTTGGTGGTGGTACCGTTGAGTGAGTTGTTGGTGCGATGTGCCGGCACCACCACCATAGTTCCCCACCTTGTAAGAAGGAGAACCAACACCGCCTTTGGAGGAAGTGACAGTACTAGCAGCAGTACCTCTAGTAGCAGAAGCACCGAAGAGGAGGTTCGGGGTGGTAGGGTCGCCATTCTGTGTTGTCAGCGCTACCCTTTTACCGCCGCCGCCCCTCATTCCACACAAGACACGCCCGACTACTATGCGCATTGTAGACTTCTACCGAGCCCTTATTGCGGTAAGTATACCATCAGGGCGGCTTGGTACCTACGAGGTCTGTAAATTAGGTGACGAGACTGTTTTTTTTATTTAAATATAATTAAAAATTGTATATTGTTATCCAGAAAATAACTTCTTTTTGAAGCCACAGTGCTGAAACTCCGATACTGGAATAACCTTCAGCTGATCGGTTACAGCCGTTTGAATATTTTCGACTGTCCCAAAATGTGTTCACTTGACGTGATTTTTCAACTTCGGGGAGAGAAAAAAGTCACAAGGAGTCAAGTCAGGCGAATAGGGAGGCTAAGGAGCCACAGGAATGTTTTTACTGACCAAAAACTCGTTGAGTGTCAATGAACATTATCATGATGCAACACCCAGTTGTTCTTGATCTGATGGACGGTGGCGTGAATCTTCCCCGATCTTTCTGACTGTCAACCGACGATCTGAACGCACAAGATCCCGGATTCTGTCGATATTTTCATCGGTTCTTGAAGGCCTTCTACTTCGTGGTTCATCTTCAATCGACTGTCTTCTTTCTAAAAATGCCTTAAACCACCGAAAAACCGGGGCACTTGACAAAACACTGTCTCCATAGGCCTGCTGAAGTTTAGCAAGAGTGTCCGTTGCATTGTGCCCAAGTCTGAAGCAAAACCGTTGATCGAAATTGATGTCATTAATTTTTGAAACACAATAGTTATAAACTGTTCCACAAAAGAATCGTTACGGACAACCAAATGATTCGAGCGAGTTCAGGTTTGCACTGAAGGCGAATCACATGTTCCCCTATCTCCCTGCCCCTCCACTGTTGCCAGATCGAACTCTACGTTGCCAGGCTCATTGCTTAATTTACAGACCTTATAAATTCCAACCAGAAACCTACTGCAAACATACAAATATTTGTCACTGGTCACCATGGTTGGTTAGTTAGCTAAAGCGCCCATCGAGAATACGAAAGATTTTGTGTTTGAATTCTACTAGTGGAAGTCCTTTTCCTCTATCGTGGTACAGCAGAATCTAGTAAGACACTTTTTTACAGGTTTATGAAATAACATACCTTTGGTAAAAATTCTGCTTTTATACATCCCACGTTATACAAATTATCAAAAAATGTCTAAAAGGTTTTATAACCTGCTTAATTCAATGATATAAGTTAAATTCATGTACTAGTTTTCCTTCTGGTAGAAAAGTGACTTGCAGTTTGTTACAATTATTTTGTAATATTAGCATCTTTTCGGGTTGATGTGCTATTAAACTGTTGTTTTGTAAAATCAATTAATCAGATTTATATACTGGCGCACTCTGTAACTCATAATCGGTGGGTATTCAAGCAGATGACAAAACTACAATTTTATGCAATTTCACTGCAAAATGTCTTCCATATAAATATATGAATAATTAAAAACTAAGTGATTTACAGGCACTGTACGTAATTCTATGTTTGAAAGCACTATAGTGCGTTTTTCTGGGTTGTTTTGGGTGTGAATTAAAGCACTCGATTCCACAAAAAGAAATGCACTAATTTATTTACAACACAACACAACCAACTTTAACTTAACAAGATTTATGTACTTACACCACTATTATCCAACTCTGCCCTCCGCTCCAGCCGTATACAACTGTGCCTCCCGGCCGTCGGCTTATATATGCCGCATTGCAGGTACTCGTTAATTCGAGAAAGTTCCTGTACGCCACATAGCGCCCACTCCAAAACCTTCGGGGTCAGTCTCGCAACTTGCTTTGATGCCGAAGGAGATTCCCTTGCGAGGTTCCCAACAGATGGCGCTAACAGTACCATTCATTCTTACAATAGAAGCGGCCGCTGGCGCTGTTTGGAAACAGAATCCAGTTATACTACATTTATCATCATCTCAGTCAACAAAATAATAAACATTAAACGTCGGTCAAGTTGGATGGCAAAAGATTTCTATAATTTTTTTTTTCAAAAAATTATAATAAAAACAGAAATATCAGATATTTTGGTTTAGAATTTAATGCGCTTTTATAACATGTCAGAACACATAATAAATCACAGGGTTAAAAGTCAATGACGGGTGAACAGAAGTAATCAAGGAAAATAGTAAAATGTCCGACTTTAAGCGGTTATATTGCAATAACTTCAAGATTATTTTCCCAATTTCAGTGTCTATTTTAATCAGTAATTAACTTAGAGCTAAAACAAGCGACTAATGCTCATACACTTAGTGACTTTATAAAAAAGATAAAAAATAATTTCCAACGTAAATAAAAAATTACGTCGTACGTTTTTTCTTTTTCCGTTTTCACTCAGGGTTTTCACCAAATGACATTTCCCTTTGAGATCTCCCCGGGAATTTAATTCGGCTTTGATTGTCTAGATCACAAATCAATTTGGAGAAAATAGTAGAAAACAATCGAACCCAAAGAACTTTGACCAAAAAACATAGCAGCCAATTGGTTGAGGAGATATGTACGCAAGTCACTGCGTATTAGATACGTGAATACTTTACCCCCAAAAAAATCAATATTGGCTAGAAGTGTGTATATATAAATCAGTTATTATCAGCTTCGCAAACTGCAAACAAATGGTAGCATAGTTATCTTTTTTCGCACGGAATGAATTTCTTAGTTTTACACCCTGTACACGACGTCCAGTTGAACTGTAACGAAAGGTGACTGCGTAGAACTAGTGAAGATTTATTCACTGTCTGCCCATTAGAAGTGTTCGTATTTGTTTGCGGGCTTGTTTATTATTCTACGTTCTATCAGTCTACCTCTTTAAGTTCATTATGCGTCTGACCATTACTCTACCCATAAGAGGATCAGGACTGATTGGTTTGACAAGAAAAACGATCTGAAAAAAATGCTTATACATACGAGTCATACAGATAACAAAACTTAGGAGTGTTATTGATTTACGACGTTCTAGAGATGGAGTTGTGCATGGTGAATATGGAGGATAAAGAGTAATCCGCTCAATTTTTGGGTGCCTTGTAAAACAACAATGTACGCTTGCCAATAGCTATGCCCCCCAGGATACAAAAATATCACAAAAAATTATAGTTCGGTTGAAGGTTCTATAAGAAATATATTTCATTAGAAAACGACCACGTTAGGCTAAGATCGGAAAAGTGACAACAAATTTTGTTTGTGAACCGTTAGAAACAGACAAATAATTAACAAGCATACATTTTGCAAGGTGACTAAATAGGCAAAAACTATAAATATTTACAAAAATAAGAAATAATGCCCATAAGGCAGCACATTCCTTATTCTGTAATACTTTTCGTCTGATTATTTCACAGTGTGTATAGGAATTACTGCTAAACAGCATTATCAGTTTTCTGTCAAAACATGCATTCATATGTATCTTTTATGCATTTTTTAATTATGGTAACTCGTTAACAAATAATAGTAGTACTATTCTCAACTTTTATTGGAATAAAGCACATTTATAGTGAATAAATTTAAGCATTTACTTTCGTCATATCATTTTTTCCTCAAAACAGCTTTGCTCTTCTTGAAAACTCAGTTTGCTTATCCAAGAAAAGTACACAAAACATATTTTCCGACAAAAAAATGATAATGTTGTTTTTCAGTCATCTTTATAAATACCATGAATCAAACAGACGAACAGTATTAAGGATACTTTTTCAGTCGGACTGTTGAAGAAAAGGGAAGTGCGATAATCTGTACAAATTATGCATCTTACTATAAATAACTACAAATAAAACTATCCCAACTGATAAAAAATGTTGAGGAAACCTTTGACGTTTTGAAAATCGTGGAAACGTATAAGAATAGCAAAAATAAACACCAGGCATGTACCGGCATGGATCTGATCAGATCATTAATATACAGCAGAAACATAGGATGCATATCGGTATGTACGAAACCACGGCACGGCCGCCAAAAAGCAACTAATGAAAAACTGCACCTGCTATGAGTTTCACTTGTTTAGTCGTCGCTTCCCAGATTCTCGAACGGTGTGCCAGGCTGCTATAAGAGGTCGAAAATTCGTAGCAGCATCTGAAGACTGTCTTTCGTTTTCAAAAGACCTACATTTGAAATAACATAATAATATGGGGTGACATGGAAACGCAAGAACAGAAAGAATAAGAAGATGAGAAATTTCGTCCAGTCGCACACAAATACTGTTCGAAGTTGTTGCCCATCGATTAATAACGCATGGTTAATGTCTTCTTCCTTAATCTTCACCGGACTACCTAGGTGTCCAGAAGTCATTACCTCGATGTTCCTATAAGGAGCCTTCGTACGAGATAAACAAACTGCAACGCGAGATGGAAGCGTCTAGAAAAACGATCTGATTGTGTTACACTCGCGAAGCACCAGCGGCATCTTGAAGATTCTCACCGTAAGCTAACATCTGTATCGAGAAGTTAGGTATTGTGGAATATTCTATTCTTTTAGGTATGGAGATAGGTCCACACTTGCTTTTCCAAAATGGATGTATTCAGAAATATGGCAGTTGAAAATTTCAAGATAGCGGTACGACCGCTCCTTTGTTCCTAGTATGTCAATATTGTAGAACAATCTGCCTAAGGAGGTTTTCCCCAGTTCTTAGGTAGTACAATCGAATTAACAAGGTGTTTTTAGCCTCCTTATAGGAGTCATGGTGTCCCGGTATTTAGACGTTTGTCTATATGGCTGCTTCCATGTATAAAAAAATTGTTAGTTTCTGACGCTGACAGTTTTATTTTAACTACAGATTTACCGGTTAATTTTGTGTAAAGGGTGATTCATTTAGACATTTTTTTAAATTCTGAGTAACTCCCATAAAATTGAATTGGATGGCGGAATCTTTGAACTGAAAGAACAACTTTTGGCATTTATTTTTCGTCATACAGCTGCACAATTTGGAGACGATGTTGCGGTGTAAGTCTTTCCATGACGAATTGTCTAGCAATACTGAATAAAACTAGGATGCCAGGATGAGACCAGTCACGAGGAATGTAATGAAAAAACCCCTTATTTTTGAGTTTTCCGTATTAGTAGTTTGTGGAGAATAACTGCATGCTCAGAGAATTTTCAGAATCTTGCCGGTCGATGTCCAGTATACTATATAGGTGGTGTTGTCATGCTTGCATATCCCAAACTAGTACTATCACAACTCGCAACGTAGGAAGAACCAGGACTATCCATCTACTTCAACACTGGCAAAGTTATTTACAAGTATGCCTCTATAAAAGTAACCGATGCAACAACGGTACGTGAATTCGAAAGTTACGATCGCGCGTATTTTGTCCTTTATGTCAACAAATACAATAATGTAAGGCTGTTATGGCATTTGTTCATGTGTAAATAACTAACCGTTAACAAAAGTGAGTAGGCGTGGGACAAATCGAACAAACGTGCAAACTGGCTAACACGAAGGATATTCTGTTACCACTAGAGATTTATACAAGTGGGATTCCAACATTATAAACAATACAGGGTGCTCTAAGACATTTTAAAAATTTCGTTTGCATTTTTCCGACTTCAGGCATATAAAGGAGACCAGATCGTACAACCATATTCCCTCAGAAAATCCAAACTTATACATTTTGTCAAGCAATATGATATCTCACAGGGTCAACCTTGGCCAACCCAGGCCAATGCGCGATGGATTATCGTTCATACTTGAGTATTGGTCTACGTTGGCCCAATGTGTGAATGCGACGTTAGAAGTTATTATGTAGTCTATTAAGAAACCACGTTTTTAACTATTTATATTTTTTGTTGCAGGTGCTTGCCTTTGCCGCTTTTGTTCATCTGTCTGCTTGTAACGAGTATTCAAACGGAACTCTGCCCACTGTTCGTCGTTTCAGAAGAAACCCACGTAGACAGCATAACCTAGAGGGCAGGTAATACCAGTAATAACTTTTTCTAAGAATCCTCTATAGACTGTGTTCCCATCAAAGTCAGAGTTATTCATCCCATAGAGCATAGAGAGTGAGAATGGCAACATTATTATCGATGCTGCCCTCTGTACCGAATTAGGAGCAGCACCGAGTACAGTGTTGCATTTTTTAGAATTAAAACCGCCTAAAGGATTGTGGATTCTGAAAATACTTTAAAAGACTAATAATACTTTTTGGATAACTAGGTATCTCTTGTACACACCCAGGAACTATAAGTATGCCAAGTGGGTTGAGAATGAAATCAGAATTGCAAACCATTGGTAGATGGCAATCGACAGCTTTCTCACCTACTTGCGCACTACGATTCGAGTTATTCAAAAGACCTTAACCACTACTTGTTTGCTTTCCGTCTGCCTGTCTTCAAGAGTAGACGTACAGCGCACTGATGAGTTGTTAACGAACACGAAATAACGCTGTCTATGGTTGGTCACGGTTATAGAAACGAAAAGCGATGTATCCAGTCCAGCCGATGTCATCTAAAGATTGCACTGCGGAAATAGCTTGCCTGATGTTTCGAGAATCTCCAGAAATGGTTAAATTCAACTGACACCTTCATTGTGTTTTTCAGCTCCCTACAGAACTCGTTTATAGACGCTAGCGTCGAGTCCATAGGATTGCCTATGTTCAGAGGGCACAAAAGAAGCCAAAAGATGATGATGGAGGAAGAAGCTAACAGAACGATAGACTGCTGCCCTACCGTTATGGAGATGGTGGAACCCCATGGGGGAAAGAACCAGGATGGAATTTTTGTGGAGCTATATAGGGATCAAAACTATAAACAGAGGTAGGAAATCGGCTAAGCACAAAGATATAGGATGTGTTGTTTCTTCACTACTGCTAGTAGATTTGGGAAAAGCCCCTCCTGGTAATTTGTTGCACAATCTCTATACAGTAGGATCCTTAGGGAAAAGACTATTGTGCTGAACTGTTTGATTGGAGGCGCGATCGAGCTTAATCAAGTTCTCAGTGACCGGAACTCGAACAAGTTGAAATAAATGGCTTTCTAGCAATCCATCAGCATCGATTGCACGTGCTGGGCTTCAGTCTTATTTGTTCAGTACTACGATCTAATTCCCTCAAACTGCACTAAATGACTGCATCTCAAGGCAGTGATAACCTCCCTAACTCTTGTCCCAGAAGAAATTAATCCAGTCATATTCTCTCCAGCTCATCAGTCTGCCAGTATGTAAAGTGAGGTTGTACACAAATAAATATATGGATTGGTTGAATGAAAAGAAGTAATGTTGAGGCTCAAGCCTATGGCTGGAAAACACTCGGCACTTGCGTTGACATTGCGAGATAAAGACGAGAATCCATCAATTCATAATCTACCAATGGGAATGAAGTCCATATGCCTCACCAAAGGACTGAATGAGCTAACGTCACAACTATGTGATGTAAGCTAATCAAGTAGTGTTGTTCGAGATATTTTAGGAGTTTTTTATTGATGCACTTCTCCTTAATCCCACTGATAAAAAACAAAAGTTAGTGGAAACCTTTTTTAGGATAGACTGAACACGACTAAACTTCTAGTCTTTTTGGGAAACTGGAGTGGGTTCTGGTATCCATCTCGTCAATACTATGAAAGGGATTGTATCGTGATCAAAGCTTTGGTGGCGTGGAGCAACTCCAGCACCCATAGAGCGTTAGCATATCTAAAGCTCACTTCCCCAGGGAGACGCTTTGGTATTGATGCCACCTAGACGTTGGGAGAAGCTTCCAATATGGTTGCAGAAATTCTCAATTATTTTGCATGCGTAGGCATCGTAAATACTTCATGGATAAATAGATTTTCTTTACAAACATAGGAGGTACCTCTATAATAACCAATGACAATTGGATCATTTGATCCACACTCAATGACAGAACATATCTCTCAACATTTTTTTGTATTTTGTAGGTTCTACGAGCTATCCTGCCACAAGGACGTGATCAACAAGCCGTGTCGGTTCATCAACAAGAAACTGCATGCGCAGTCCCGTTGCGTACAGAAGCACAGCTACACGTACGCGTTGGTGAAGGACACGCCCAGTCACCGGGACAAAAACTTCCCGATGTTCCCGGCTCAGGGGAGCGACGCGGGAGTCGCGGGAGTGACCTACACTCTGGACTATATCAGTGTAAGGAGTGGGTGCAGTTGTGTGGTCCTCAACGGTAGGAAGAAGAGGGGCAAGAAGAAACATGTCGCCACTGGGGCAGCCGGAAAGACTTAGAAAATTTGTTCGAGCGATCTGGATGTATGTGTAACGTGTATTATGACAGTTCCAGGAAACTAAGCTGCGGTTCGTGGTCGGTTAGAAATACCCAAGTAGGTTGTATCACTACATGCCCTACAACTGACCGACTAAAGTGACATCAGGTCAAAGACATAAATATCTGATTATTACATTAGTGATATTTAAATTTAGTGTGGGACACGGTCGGAGTTATACCTTTTTCTGAAGCGCAGTCTGTCAAATAAGGTTATGCATGCTAGCCTCTGTATGTCGTTTGACGTGTCTAGTGGTATAACCTAATTTTTATATTTTTTGCTGGAGTAAGTCAGCTAGAATTGGTAGTAGCTACGGAAAATTCTAGTCCTTTGGTTACTACAGCGTATTTATGTGAAATTTTAACCGGCGACGAATTATTGTGCGTTTGAATATGCTTATTTCTTGGACCTATGTGCGACAGAGATTCGTGGCGTGGAGGGGCCACACAAGAGCTTCGACAATGTCTGCTTCGTACCTACGTAAATCAACTAATCAAATGACAAATACATATATGCTGTTCCAAGATCACTATATCCAGTTTATACGACATTTCTGCTTGGTAAAATTCTTGATGGATCACTTTTTTAACCATTATTTCGGTTTTACCGATGGCAAAACTTGTACCAAAATATCATCAGTATTCGTGAATTAGTTTCAACCCTCAATTGTATATTAAAACTGCGGACAGACATTGGCTTGAGCTTTTGTGACGATTTCCACACACATGATTGTGTCTCAATATAATCGATAATTTTATCCTTCCCTGTGACAGTTACCAAAATTAAAGAAACTATATCATCCAAACCAGTATACATATACGTGAAAATGTATGTCCAACGTAATTATAAGGACTTCTGCAGGATCTTTATTCTTATTTCATACTCAAAATGAACGACGATTTTACCTCAATGATGATATGTTTGTATGTGGTATTCTTTCTTTTCAAAAGGTGACTTGATCTTAGAGAATAGGAACACTACAGAAATGTTATTTGATAATGTTCCACGGATAACTATTAAATTAATGTTAAAGACTTGCTATTTTGTTGTGAAACAATTATGTTCAATTTGCCAACATTTGATGGGGTCAAGTACCAAAATCGAAAAAGTAGCATAACTCACCGTACGCTACTGTTAACGCGATGTGCCTATGTATGTGTGAACGGATCTGACCATACACAAAGATGTGGCATACGAAACGTTACCCTGCTGTCTTCAATTTTGGTATTGAAGATCAAGGTTTAAACGAATGCAGCCAGGAATGAATGAATTGGTCATTTAGCTTCTCTTTTCTGATTGAAACGATTCGAAAATAATGGTTTTGAAGAGCAGATTCAACGGTAGTTACTTATTTTTGAACATATATCCTGTTTCAAAAAAGTTCGTCCGATTCCTTCTAATAGTTAGCCCTGTGGATGGATACTGTGCCATGGTTTCCTGTTATTCATACATATATCAATCTGATCACTCGCATAATAAATTACAATTAAGATATAAAGTGAAATATTCCAGTGATACGCGAAATCAGGAGCAGTTGGGAACGCCCCAGAAATACCTATGTAAACAAAATATTTTAGCAAAGCAACTAAAGTACTATTTACGTAGATATTACTTTAAATGGCCGAAAATGTATCTCACACTGTCATATGTTGGGTATATTAGATACATCTCGGCCATATGAGACATTACAAAAGACTAGGATTGGACTAGCTGTTAATTGCATTGGCAAACCATCAGAAAATTGTGAAATTCTTACATTCCCAAATAGTACGCTGAATTTCGTTAACTAATACTTATTATAATATTTTCGTAGACTGACTCATCCGCAAGGAATCCCAGATACCATTTGGGGAATTGCTTTCGGCTTTTTTTTTAATTAGCATGCTGTGAATCTCAACACGAAAAACAAAAGTATCCATAAGCCCAAAGTTTTTCAGCTGATAGTTTCCAAGTTTTACAGCGTATTGTGGGATACTTATTTACGTTTATATTAGCATCTCTGTCAGGTAGTTTACTAATTACCACCACTGTTGCAATTCTACCTCATGTTCAGGGTGGCCAAAATTTATATGGATGGAGTATTGTTCCGAGATACAAATTTTTTCAAAAATTGTCCAGGATGGTTCTGCAGCGTCCCTTTAGAAATAAATTTTAAAATGTTGAGCCCATGGACGATTTTGTTTAGATGAGTATATAAAAAAGCCGCAATCCGTTCCGTATCAGGTTGTTGCGGGGTCTTTTCCTATTGAAGTTTTAATTTGGCGAACGTCTCCATTGACCCAACACAGAGACAGCGAGGTTTACCCCTTCCTACCCCAGTTATTGATAATCGTATCCAAGATATTCATGGTTTGCCAAGAAAAACAATTTGAAAGTTCGTTAAATACCTACAGCCTGAATTTAAATCAGAAATTGTATTTTTGGTTATACCGGCAAAGCAAGCTGCATACTTCATTACATCTCTGGAAAAAAGTAGTTTTAATTTTTTAATACTCATCCTCAAAAATTATGGTGCATTATGTACTTTACTTTTCACAGTATTTGCACACAATGCTTTTATCGTTTTTAACAGTATGTACAAACTTACGTATTTATATTTTTTGTTATTTGTTAATTTGTACATTCATATTATACTTAGTTTAAAATTGTGTATGTGTATATTTAAAAAAGACTATTCTATTCTAAATCATATTTATTATGTCTTGTTTCGTCCAAAAATTAATCAGTTTAAAAGGTAATTCTTTCCATAATTACTGCATTTACTTAAAATGTAACGAAATAAAGAATTCAGAAGCATAAAGTCTCATTTTTTCCTTAAGTCGTTGCTGTTACAGGTTTCGGCTACCGTAATGTTTTAAAAGTGTTCCAACACCCCTAACAAAAAAAATAAACAAAAAAGAAACGTTGATATCAAAAAGCTATAATTTATATTTAAACTTGAACATAGCGTAGATGAGGTCATTTTAGGGCAAGTTTTTAAATTCAAATAGCAAATAATTTTTGATTCGTGTAGAGCTCAAGATAATCTAAATCTACATCGGAGTGCATTTTTACTGCTGTCAAAAATGTTGCTATTTGAATCTCCAAACTGGACCTTCAGATGACTATCGAGAGCATTATCTAGGTCATATTTAAAGTGAAATGTAAGTTGCTTTGATATTCTGAGACCTCCGTGATGATATTTATTTTTTCAAAAATGAGTGGTTGCCAAGTTTTCTCGGTGTTCGTATACTTTTTAAACGTTACTGTCGGTCATATTGAGGGGAGCACTTGACCTCATGTCTGAAAATGTACGAACTCTGATGCAGAATTTCGTACTCTACACCAATCTGCTGTCATGAACTCTGACTCTAGGTCAAATTTGAAGTAAAAGATAGATGCTTCTTCGATATCCTGAGAGCTTTATTAGGTCTTTTTTTCAGAACTGCGTGGTAACCAAGTTTTTGCTGTGTTCGTGTACTTTTCAGACGTTACATTAGGTTATACTGATTGGACCACTCATGGCCACTTTTCATGTATGATGTACTCTGATGTGATGTGAGGTCATTATCTATAGACTGAAAAATAATATGTATTCCGTCTTTGTGACCATAACCAAGCTATTACTTATAGGTAGCGTGTATTTTTCGCACTTCACAATATTGAGTTTTTTAATAGACCTACCATTCTCTTATTTTGTTTCCGTCATCTGTCTCCAAATGATCTGTAATGTACTGATGATTGCTAAAAGACGGTAAAAAACTGTGTAAGCTGTGTACCTATTCGGTTGGCTATGGTCGCAAAGATGGTAAAATTATTTTTCAGCCTGTCTTCAGTTTATGCAACTTTTGTATAGAACGCCAATGCTGGTAGCATGATGAGTACTTAGTACCCCCCTTCTTAGATGAGAAGGCTGTTGCTAAAACGTGCAGGAAAACTATTCTATCTATCTATTTTCTGCTGTTTTACGTAGCAATCGGTAGTACCATATTAGCGTAACTACGCATAGGTAGCGTGTCACCTTTATTTTTCGCACGTCATATTTGAGGTCATCGACAAATAGCTTTTTTGATATCCAGAAACTTTTTTTGAACCCTTTTGAAAGAAATGCGAGGTTACCGAGTATTGGGTGTTTGTTAGTTTGTAGACAGACTAACTCTACATTTTGATTCAAACATTTTTTTCCTTACTAAGAAAAACATAATTAGACCAATTAAAAGTTTCATTAGGTCAACTAAAAAATGTATAACTTCAAAAGTGTCTACTAGGCAAGTTTGTATCATACAGTTATTTGATTCTTTCCGTTTTACTAGCTTGGTAGAATATTTACTAATGATCAGAATCCATACAGCTTATGTTTAACTTAGATTTATAAAACACTATATAGTTCCCAAGCTAGTTCTCTCAGGTTAATGGGTAGGAAGACGGTGTTACGACGATATCACTTTATTCTCACTTTATCCTCAAGGTCTTACTACATGCCTTCCGTCGCACTTTGCACTCTGACACGCAATCACCACTCACACACGGTCGCGCAATTGCCGAGCCGCTTCAACCACCAGAGTCGATAGCATCTAGTGACCACAGTGGTGACCCAGCAATCAAATGTGAACCGAGAGTTCCAACTGATATCGCAGTGATTGATTCTGGTAATAGATGGCACTTTGTGCTGTCTTATTTCGATAAAGCTACATCTCAGATAGAGGATAGTTGCTGGGCTTTCATTCGTTGTCGCGCCTAAGAGCAGGAATAGACCATGCTGATGCGTTACCAAAAAGCACGAAACAGCTGTACAAGTTTGGCCGTCTGTGGTCGGACGGACGAAATCAATATGTTCAGTGGTACAAACGTTATCCTCTTGTTTATTATGGAGCAAACGGCTTTTTCTCTGTGTGTGGAATAGAACAGAGAATTCTGCCAAGCATACCCTTGTTTTGCTTCCCAATGAAGTGAGGGTGCTTTATTCTATATCAAAAAGCCTTAACCTTTCTGAGCTTAGGTTCTTTCAGTTTATTTACCTAATCTGGTTGTCCCAAAGTAGACCAGACACCAGTTAGTCGCATCAAGGCATAAGAGGTGAAGAAAAATGTTGGCGTTTTTAGAAAATTCCTGAGCTTCGCATCGACTCAAACGTAATCATCGAGCGGCAAAGTGCTTTGCGCTCTTAATATGTAATAACTATTTTGAGACATCTGTTTTACTGATACGTAATCTGAGAAATTCAGTGTCCCAGAAAACACTAAGTACTCCAGTAATCATGCATACTTCCACTGTAGAATGACTTACGCCATTCACACATGCCCAGAGGTTTTGACCTACCGAGAAGATGTGTCGGGTACGTTTCAAATTTGAGGCTCAGGGATCCTTGCAGGAATGAATTTATCAAACTGAATTTCATGACACTGCCTTGTGTATAAATCTATGCTTGCCTCATGAATATTTGAAGTCACTCTCACAATTATGCAACTCATCAAGATACTTTCAACTACAACACCAGAAACAAAGAACATTTCGCTGGCTTATAGTTATAAGGTTCTATGTGACAATTTGGTAGTTTTGTAAATAAATGCTATCACACTTCTATGACAAGTATGCTTCGTATTGTTTCGGGTTCCAGAGTTCTATGTTTGTCTACTATGAAAATATAGGACATTATTTCATAAAACCATGCAGCAATATTATATCTTATAAGTTACAGTCTTCTCCATACAACTTGATGATCTGAATATTTTATTCTTTAATATTCTAGTGACCTTCTTACGAACTGTAAAATAAAAGATGAGAGTACCATGAAAAGCATCTTGGACAACGAAGCAAGACCCAGTACTTTACCGGAGCTTCCACTCAGTAAAATAGAAGCCTTAAGACTTATCTTTAAATGGATACCACTGATTGACCAACAATTTTATCAAGCTAATATTCTCCAACTTAAACCGAAAACCAAAAAAAAAATAAAATATAAAATTCAAACCTATATTATTATATGTATGTTATGACTTGGTATTATTTTTGATATTACATTTTTCATTATATTTAAAAGTGTAATAAAGCTTTAGTTAAATCAAAGTACTATGTTTCTTAGGAAATTGATACATTTCTAGATTAGAAAATTCCATGTTGCTTAAAATGTATATATACAAAGTTCTATGTTCTTTTTTGCAACAATCTTCTCCCAATAAATATTCATTAAGCCAATAGCAGCCTTCTTGCTAACTATTTTCTATCCAGCAGGTATTTCGATTATTAATTATTCATAAACTTACTATAAAAGAACTTGCACTTTAAACTCTTTTTTCTCGAAAAGCTTATATTGTAACTCTAAGCCAGCGATCCGTGTACAAATCATCATCACCTTTCCAACATGTTAACTACCACGGGTTAAAATTCTACAACCTATTACCAAATAGAATACAATCTCTCCATATTGAATAATTTCGCAAAACTATGAAATGCCTCCTACTATCTGAAGCTTTTTTTGACGTCGAAGACTTCCTTAACTTGATTTTTTTCAGTCTGACATAATTTTTATTGTAATTAGTCACTTTTATAGTTGTTTAACCTACTCTATTTATTGTTCATCTATTATGTAACTTTGGTTTCATTAATTATTTTACCTTTTATTGCCACTTTGTGTATCATGTTTGTCTTATTTACTGTTTATTGCTTTTACTTATACTCATTTGATGTTCTACTTTAGCTGAGTTATGCAAACATAGTTCTGTGTAATAGCGACTATAAATTAATATGATTATTATTATTTGTGTGACGAATTTAGAGTTTTATGTGCATGAATTCTATTATCAATTCTGTGCGCCAAAGGAATATGTGTAGACAACAGAAAATGACTGCTATTCCGCTTGAGCCGTTGGTTTGCGATCGGCCTAAAAAAATGTCGCAAATTACAAGAAGTGTCAATGCAGTCACATTATTAGCTACTTTTATTACCAGTATACCTAATAATTCATGCTTATTACCGTCAGTAATAAAATCAGTTCTTTATAATTTTAAGCCTGTATAATGTGCAGGTTTGTATAACACAAATTTCGATGACTTTGTCATATTTAGAACGAATTAACAAGAAATATGTATCGAAATAAAGCAGCACAAAGCGACATCTGTTACCAGAATCGGCCATTTTCGCAGTTTCAATAGACCTGACACTCTGAATTTAGGATAGTTGTTCAGTTTTCGTTCGTTGTCGGACAAATAAAAGCTATATTACCAGTTTAAGAAAGAAGCAGTGGTATTCCGGTTCTAGGTTCTTTTGCGCCGCCGTACATGCTAAGTTTTTAAACTTATCCTCCTAATGAAATTCAGTATGATCTTGAATTGAATTCTTATTTTTTGTTGATTGCTTTCATAATCAGCTCAGTAAGGGCCCCAAAGTAAGGAAAAACATGACACCTATTAAAAAGTGGCCACTGTGGTATTTAAAAAATTAACTTGATTTTTTCTTTCTGGATTTGTTTAAGTTTGTTAACCAAATAAATCCTTAGGAAATTTTCCCTTAATTTGACTGTTTCAAGTTAGCAAATAATGACGCAAAAATATAGGGTGCTTCGAGCTCGTTGTAGTAAAGTCTCTACTCTAATAACGATGTCATTATGA